AGCCTCAACTTCTCCTCTAGAGCTCTCGAACAAAGTACACGCACTTTTGACTACACCTGTGGAGCTCACAACTTCTTTGGTCCACAATTTGATAACTACTCCCAATTCTCGTATAGTTGCTCCATAAGTTAGTGACTTATATGTTTATAAGCTCACTATATACGTTGTTTACATATAGGTAGATTTTTCGGGAATGGTAGACGATGAATTTCTGAAGAAACTGGGATTAGAGAAGGGTTCAAGGAAGGTCGTAAATCATGAGGAAAGAGGGAGAGTATTGCGGGCGATGGACGGTCGTAGCTATAGGGCGGCTGCTGGGGGATCACTTTCCAACAGCCTTGTGGCGTTGGCAAGGCTGGGTATTAGACCCATGAAAGGCCCTACTTTCAATGTTGCTATGACTGGTAGTGTAGGGAGTGATCCATTGGGCAGCTTCTACAGGTCTGCCTGCTGTTCTTCCCCATATAAATATCAGTTCATCTTATAGTGGCTATCAAACTCAATGTGCTCATCCTTTAATTTGTTTCATAGGACCAAACTAAGACGTGCAAATGTCAATTTTCTTTCTCCTCCTGTGAAGGATGGGACGACTGGAACAGTTATTGTTCTTACTACTCCTGATGCTCAGCGAACAATGCTTGCATATCAGGTAAGCATCGATTTGAACATGCTCGGAACGTCTATCGAATATTAACTTGTATCGAATGTTGAACTTTTTGGGGTTTTGTTCTTGATGTGTTCATAATATATCAGGGTACGTCTTCCACTGTGAATTATAATCCAGCATTAGCTAGTGTAATTAGCAAGACAAATGTATTTGTAGTTGAAGGGTATTTATTTGAATTTCCCGATACAATCAAAACGATTCAAAAAGCGTGTGAAGAAGCGCATCGGTGTGGAGCTCTTGTTGCGGTCACTGCTTCAGATGTCTCTTGCATTGTAAAGCATTTCGACGAATTTTGGTAATTTTCTCACTTCAAACTCGGTTTATGGTTTCATGTATGACTAGAAATCACGATTCTCCATAATAGTATGATACAGTCCATTTTGAGTATAAGTTTCCGTATAAGACCTCGTACCAATAGAGATGTATTCCTTACTTATAAACCCATGATCATTCCTCAACAATGTTCTCACCCAAACATAACGCGTTTTCCATTGAATTATTAGGGAAATCGTGGGGAACTATGCAGATATAGTTTTTGCAAACCACGAAGAAGCTGGAGCTCTATGTCATTTCGACTCGAAGGAAAGCTCGATATCAGCTGTAAGATATCTAAGTCATTTCGTTCCACTTGTCTCGGTCACGGATGGGAACAGAGGTTCATACATAGGTGTTAAAGGAGAAGCGGTGTATATACCACCTTGTCCGTGCGTACCTCTCGACACTTGTGGTGCGGGAGATGCGTATGCGTCTGGTATTTTGTACGGTATCTTGCATGGAGTGTCGGATTTGAAAGAGATGGGAACGTTTGCAGCCAAGATCGCGGCCAGGGTCGTCGAGCAACAAGGAACTCGTCTAAGGGTTCAAGATGCCATGGAGCTTGGCGATGCATTTTCTAGCTTTCAGACTGATATTGGCTCATCACATGTGTAGCCAACTTGATCCTCGAGCCATCTTCCCTTTCAATAAAGTTCTCTTATCATAATTATATCTAAATAAAGATAGAGATGGGTAAAGATGTGCTTGTAGCTGTAACATTTTACTTGTTAATAAATGTTTATATTGATTTATTTCTTTTATTATTTAATACTAATTTAATTAAAAATCAAAATCATTTAAATAAATAAATAAGTCATTGCTATTTTATTTGGTTTGAACATTTCTTTGTAATATATTATCCTCCATTTAAAAAGAAAAAATCTTATAATATTTATATATTTGTATAATTATTATATTATATTTTAATTGATATATTTGCCAGCGTGGCAATGTGGCCAGGCCTCATTGCCAGGGTGGATCCAAACCTGAAAACATTAAATAAATATTTTTTATAAAATTGAATAAATTATCTAAAAATACAAATTATATCTTAAGATGCGTAAATAGGTTCATCTCCGTGTTAATGGGGATTGAGCTTGCGAGAATCAGATTCCCGTTCGTAATTCTTCATTTATTTTTGAGGGAATTGAGGTATTCCTTGAAATTTGGGAGAATCCGATCCCTATGAGTAAATTTCTTTGGTTTATTATTCTTTTAAAAAATAGTTATTTTAAAATTTTCTAATTTTTATTAAAAGGAACTTAATAAATTAATATAGTTTTTGAATTGATACATTAACAAATTAAATTGAGATATTCTTTCTTCATATATATATTAGAATATATTCCACTGCCAAGATTCGAGAACAGCTATGTAAGAGTTGCAAAGTTTTTTTTTTTTTTTTTTTTATTAATTTAAAAAAAAAAACTTATTTAAATACTTTATTCTTATTCCTCATATTTATAACACGTCATCGATAATATAATATAATAATTTATTTATTTATTAAAAAAAAGTAGGGTAGTAGAGTAAAATCTCATATTGTATCACTCCTAGTTAATATAAATGTAAATATTCTTAACCTTTTTAAAATTAGCGTAGAGTTAAGTAGGGCTGAGTCAGACTCAGACTGTACCTCTATTTTTAGGTGGGTCAGGGTCAGACCCAACAAAAATGTCAATGAGCCAACAAAATTGAATTTTCTAGTTTCTAAAAATTCAAGCAAATTGGAACTTGGAACAAGAAAAAAAACTATAATTTGAGTTGGATAATCTAGATAGGTCGGAGTTGTCGACTTCCCTCGGGTTACCTATTATCTCTCCTCCGACCAATGAAAATGACTAGCCTATTATCTCTCCAATCATTGAAGTATAATTAGTTTATCCACCTATCCAGTCACATACCATTGTAACGCAAGTATAAAAAATAAAACTAAAAATATTTGTGAAATATATTTCGTTGTATAAATATAATTAGTTAAATAATATATTTTATATAGTCGTAATTATTTAGTATTTTTTTTTCTTATTTTTTAAGAGTTGTTGGTAGTATATTTGTAACGACACAATGAAATACTAAATTAAAATAAATAAGCGTTACAATTAAAAAAAAAAAAATCATATTCTATCATAAGTGTAAGAAAATAAATGCAACTAGCATATGCATGTGTCACGGTCTCCTAGTTGCGATGTCACCGTCATCTACACAGGGAAATATTGCCTTTGGATGAAAAAATAAAGTAGCACATGGAGGGGAGTCTTGTCTTTACATGAGAAAATAGAGTAGCACATGATTTGAGTATTTTAATAAATACTTAGTAAGCAACTCCCTACCATTGGGGTTAATGCAAACACATAAAATTTCATAAACGAGCAATTTGGATGTGTACTTAATTTTTCTACACATGGTTCACACGTGCGAGTATGGACCCATCAGTCGGTTTGATTACCTCCTGAGCCCCTTTCTACTTGGACGAGCATTCTCTGGTAGCTGTTAATGTCGGACACCCATTAGGAATAGCGACCGTCACGGCAACATTATGATGAACATAATGATTGTTTTACTGCCTCGTAGTATATACGTCTATACTATCGTGAAAGAGGAGTATTCCCTGATGCATGAGCACACAATAATGCATGAGAGGTTCCAACATTTTTCCATTCTGATTATCATATAATACAACCCCGCTAGTATCTTCCTTCATATCATATCATTTTGTTATATCATTTAACATTTCGTTTTTCATATCATTTATCATATATTTCACGTGTGTGCCGGGAGTTGTATCTCATACTAGTTTGTCGTTTTGCATTTCAATCATACCATATCATTCATATTACACACATAAGTCATATCTTAACGTTTTCATGCTTCCAAACATAACAATTCTCATCATGCACATATCATATCAGATATCATAACAATCACACATATCCCGAGCATGTCTTTAACATATCAAATCTTAAATATATCAATTCATCAAATACAATATAACATTCACGTATCATAACATATACATACCATTTCATAACTGTTTGCATAAATGGCATATAACACATGCGAAGTCATAAACACGTGTCATCATACAATACACAATTATAATCATACGACGGTAGGATCACTTATTTAGTTGGCTTTAGCCGACGTTCTATCATATTTTCGTGATCGGCTTGACCTGTCCCTCAAAGTTTGTATCGACATGTCGCCCTTAATCTTGAGCCAAGCCTCAGCACACTGCATATGAGCAGTAGCCAAATCGTCCTTGCAAGAACAACCCAATTCAATGGGGATTTTCGACAGGCCTGAGCACAAGAGCAAAGTTCTACCCATTGAGCTATATCTCCCAAAACAAGTGAGGCCTGCAACTGTATTTGCTACTAAGCAGCCAAGCTTTCGAGGGTATGAGTGGAGAGAAAATGGGGAGAGTGATATTGGTACTAACCTTATTTTGGCTTGAATTAGGTTAATCTCCTTTTTCACCCACTTTTTCATTTCGATTTTGATACTAACCTTATTTTGACTTGAACTAGATCTCACAAAGGAATTTAAAGAATTTTTAGCTAGTAAAAAATGTAAGCAACCTTAAGTGGTTAGAATAGGCATAATTAGAACTATAGAAGAAGCATTTGGATGAGAATGTTCGTATAATATAAAAAGTTACCAAAATGCCCCTCGAATGAGATCTTGAGATGAATGTTATTTCTGGGTAGAGCTTGCATGAATGATGTGATCAATAGGATCATCTCCCTAGTGTGAGTAAACCAAGTTAAGATTAGAGTGTTTGAGCTTGGCCAACGTTGACCTAGGTCAATACATTTTCTTAGTAAACCGAGCACACCCATGATAAGATCAGGTACCCAAGAACACAAAAGAACATATTTATAAACGAGATTGAAGATAAAAAGAACTCATAAATGTGCAGTTTTTATTTCAAATTTTGAATGTTCCAATACCAATGAAACAAAGAATATAAATATATATATACATAAAAGAATGAACAAAAATAAAACACAGTCATTTACATAACAGTCCAGCAAGACTCAGTCTTAGGATTCCAAAGAGCCGGAAGAAGAAACTTCTTCCCCTTAAACCCAACAGCATTATAAGCCCCACCAGTCCGGATATCAACAGAGACCTTCCCAGTATACCCAGGGGTAGCCCCAGTGCCAAACATGCCAGGACAAGCCGTAGTGGCCTCAATTACAGAACTCTTATGCCCAAGCTGAAACAGCCCAGTCCTAAACGGATTGGACACCACAGAAGCCAACCCAGAAGCCAATGAAATAACCATAGCATCAGCCCCAATGTCCCCACTCGGTGGCTTCAGCACAGGCCCAGCAGGCCCATAGTCCGCTTTATGGAACGGCCAAGCGCACGCCCCAGGACACTCCGTCTCTGGGTTGCCAAGGATCACATAAGGCTTCCCATCGATATCCCCATGCTCCGAGCACCGCCCGATGCAAAGCCCTTCCACCGTCACATCCCGGGCTGCCACGATCACGGGCACAGCATGTGGGAACCCAACCAACGCCTTCTCGACCAAGATTTTAATGAAATCACGTGTCATTACTTTGCCATGTGTGTAATTTGGATCCACGTATTGCTGGACCACTCTGACGGCAATGTCTTTATCGTTGTGTACGTAGCTGCTAACCATGTGCCACCATGATGAGACCGATGGTTCAGCCCCGCCTCGCGCGTTTTGGTTTAATGACTTTAGAAAGGCTCTTAGTGCGTTTTTTTGGATGCGGCCCAATTGGCCGTAGAACAGTATTGAGAGGTCCAGGTTGCCTTTTAGCATTTCGCCGCCGTGGTCCACCAAGGCGCTGGCTGGCTCGGCCACGGCTGTAGCGTTTGGGATGGCTAGGAGGAGGAGGAGAAGGGACAGGGCTAGTAAGCCATGTGGTGCAGCTGAAATTCGGCCCCAAAGCTCCATTTCTTTTTTTTTTTTTTTTAATTTTATTTATTATTATTTTTTTTTATTTTGGGCTGATTTTTTTTTTGTTGCGATAATTTCTTTTTTTTTATATGGGAAATGGAGTGTTGGATGGGCGCGTTTTAATCGGACAGCTACTGGCTTTCAAGTTATTTAGCCTTGGATCTTGGTTTTACCATTTCTATTTATTTATTTATTTTTACTTTTCTATTATTAGGCTCTATTATTAAATATTAGTTTTTTTTTTATTATTATTATTGTTATATGTGTTCCTGAGTTGGGTTGTGTTCTGAACTAAGTAAAAAAAATCCCTCCCCAAACCGTGCTTGCATTATTGTTCTCTAAATTTTCTTGGAAATAATAATCTAAAATTTTTTGTTTTTAAAACATTGATTTATTTGTTTTTAATATTTAATTAGAATTTATTATTTTACTTAAAAAAATTAAGTGTAAGGATAAATAAATAAAAAATGAGGTTGTCGGAAAACCGGGCGAGAATTCTGTCTACTCGGTGGAATTAAGAACACACCAACGACCTGCAGACGCACCTCACAGGAACTCGTATAGCCTAGATAACACCATGGAAGAGAGGACTAACAAGCTAAAGACACTGTGATGCACATGAGTGATTATTATCAAATGGTCTTGTTTCCTCCGATGCATAACCCAATACCATCACACTTACGTGCATCATTGACAAAATTATACAGAGATGCCTATTTTATTGGTAGAGTATTAAAAGATAACTTACCATGATCTCCACAATGGTGTGATTTTATCCACTTTTGAACATAACTGCTCATTGCTTTGCTTTTGGTTTCTCCAAAAGGCTTCATACCAATGGAGATGTATTCCTTATCTATAAACCTGTGATCATTCTCTAAATTAGCCAATGTGAGACTCTTTTCCAACGATCCTCAACAAAATCTACCTAATTTTATCGTTTTACGTTAGAATTTAACCATTGAAGGTGCTTCGACAAAAAGATTTCAACATACAACGAAGGCATTCAAGAGTTTGTAGATAAGAGGAAAAACGTCTTTGGTGAAATCTGTATTCAACCAAATTCATCGTCCTTTTATGTTATTCTACAATGTCCTTCTGTCATCCACATCACCTTTCTCCATCAAAACAACTCGAAGGAGAGAAATTGAGTCGTCATGCCCCAAATTTCGGAGCACCAAAATACCGGGTGTGACCCAAAATGAAAACAAGAGAGTAATTCTAACTATCTTTCCCCACGTTGACTATGACTCTTTTTTTTGAGGTTCCGAACACTTTCTTTGCAATAGTTGGAGGTTCAATCTCTAAGGTCCTCAATAAAATTCTGAAAACCCAAGACTTAAAGACGATCAAAGTACAATTTTCTATAACTATTGAGCTCGAGTGTTACACGAGCTTACTCATACTTAAACTCAACCGTTTAGAAAATGACGTTGACTTTTGAGAGTCATGGATGACTATGATGATAAACTCATATTTTAATATATTAATTTTTTTTTAACTATAATTTAACCTCGTATTTGTGTTTTTTACATGGGTTGGGTGAGGTTCCTTAATGCCACACCAAGCTGACACATGAGAAAATCATGTTCCGTCAATAATCTAAAGAGTTTATGGTATATAGATAATGTTAGATATCTTATTATGATAATACTATTCATACGATTCACTTTGTAATTGTTACAAATAATTTGAACCAAATTGTTCATACTGAGATATGTGAGTGGAGGTATCCTATACAATGAGTTTGTATAAGACCATATCTGAAATATTTAACCTCTCTTTATTAAAAAATTATTAATTCAAAAGATTAATATTTCATATATTAGTCATACGTAACTTGATCTTAATCTTGAGTGACTTTAACACTCCTCTACGAGAGCTCGTCAGTTGATTTGTATGGGTGAGATGACTTTTGTAGTAGATTTAATGTGTGACGATTTGCTTTTCAAGGTTTTGAATCTCGAACCGAACAGTGACTAAAAAGCCAAAGACCAAAAGCAAATAAAATAAAAGATAAAAATACGGTAAAATTTAAATCGAAATAAAGACCAGAGTACCATAATTAACGGTAAAAAAGAAAGGAAAAATGGTTGAGTACATAAATATATCTAATAACTAACCTACTCGTAGGCCTTCATCGCATCCTTGACCTAATAGGAGACCACGAGATTTACTCTAAGCTCTAGGTGTATTGCTCTTGTTGTGCGCAGTCTTGAGTAGCTAGCTTAGCCTAGGCAGCAGTAACCAAAATCCAAAGATGAGGCGCTACCTCAAAATACTCCATACTAGGTGGGGACAACATGGTAAGTGTAAGTCTGCTCATCATCCATAGGAGGTTAGTTGACGAACCCATCCCACAGGTCATGAGTCGCTCAATGTAACGACCCTAGATTTCTACATACTCAAAGTTGTTAGTAATGTCTCATGGTCTTCATCTATGCAAAAATATAACTCTTAAAAGCAAACCACTTCTCTAGTATAAATGTCGAAAATATTTAAAACTCTCTGAAAAACACAATCATGGTCTTATATTTAAATACGAAATACTAAAATTTAGAGAAAGTAAAACAAATACAAAATAATTTAAAACGATGAAATGTTAAACAACCTATTCTAACCAAAGACTAGGAATTTAAATGAGTCTATCCTATGCACGTGCCATAGTCTCTGCTTGCGATACTGCCGTCCTTCATACATGTGCGTCTTGTCTTTACCTGAAAAATGATGTTGCACACGACGTGAGTATTTCGAAGAATACTCAGTAAGTGACCCCACTATAGGGGGTCATGCAAATGCAAACACATGCAATCATGCGCTTATGACCTATCTCTATTCTCTAGAGGTGGCCTCCAGTCTAGGACAAATTAGATGTGTAGTACTTCCCTACACACGACTCACACATGCGGGTATGAATCTCCAAGGGGCTCGCACACCTCCTGGACCCTCTGGTCAAGCTAATCTATAGCCATGTCTGGAGGTCAGCGGAACCCGTTGGTGTCATGCTCCCCGTGAACACCCTCATCACCATACTTTGCGTGTCCACACTCATGGTCTTTGGGGAATTATCCCTATGCTTATGAACACACAACACACATGAGGTCCTCTAATTTCCATCTTATCATCTCTTTTAACACAACCCTCTAGTCTCATCTCTTTGTTACATTAAGTAACACATGCTCGTTAGATATATATTAATATCATTTTCATGCTCTTAGGGTTGTGCCCTACGTCGGTCTATCGACATGATGCAATATGACACTCATCATCATATAGCATGCTTAATATGACAAAACATCTACATAAAAACGTCATACAATCATCATACTCATCATATCGCCATAAAGTGCATCAAGGATATCAAGTACGTCATATATGAAACTATATATATTACGCACATCATCAAGTATCACAACTCATACATCATCCTACGATACAAGTCATACATCATCATAACTCATACATCATAAACATAAAGTGCATCAAACATATCAAGTACGTCATATATCAAACTATATATATTATGCACATCATCAAGCATCATAACTCAAGCAGCACAACTCATACATCATCATATACTAGTACACAACATCACATACGTTATTTCTGGCCATTTTCATTCAATATTTTTCTTTTCTTTCCTAAAATTTCTTTAGAAAAGGAAAGATTTAAACAAAATCAGGAATATATTCAAGCTAATGTAAATCGACTTAAAACCATTTTTATTTACCGTTTGTTTTAAGTAGAGGTGTTCAAATACTTTTTTTTTCTTTATTTTATTATTATTATTATTATTTTCGGTTGTTACATCCTTCATAGGTTGAGTATGTGACGATAGATAGAGCTGGAAAGAAGATGACATGGATGACAGAATATCTAGAAGAATTATGCGAGAAGGAGCGTGATGAGCGTTTAAGAATGAAATTATTGGTTGACTTAATTGGTTTCCGAATAGGAGAATGGTTGGCTTAGAGAGCTTATTTATAGATTACTTAATGATTAGCATAAACAACCGTATATATAAACTGAGTCATATATACCAAACTGTATATAGTAAACTAAGCCATGTGTATACACAACTGTATATAATAAACTGAGCCATATATATACCATGACATACTTGTGATGGTTGTTCTTTAGAAATGTAATTTCTATTCTCTGTACATACATGAAGTTGTGAATATGAACTTTTTGCTAAGATTCCTTACTTTTTTTCTCTTCTGTTCATCTCGATCGAGTGTGCGCATTGTTGTATCAATGAAGAACATGAATAATATGAAAACTTCTTAAAGATCTTTGTTCCACGGTCTTCACAACCACATGTGTCACGATTCTTACGACCTAATTTCATGACTATTTCTTGAGCTAATTTCATTTTGGGTAGGGATAAATGCATAATATTTTTCTACACACTGTCCATGCACATGTATGTAAACCCCACTAAGTTGCACACCTAGAACATGTTAAATGATTGACGACCACCCATTTGGAGATTATTCGCCATGGCCACTACACTCACTCATTCAACCAAGCTGGTGTGCACCTCTGAAGGCTAGAATATTTGTTGTCGTATAAGCACATGCATGCCTTCTATCGCTCAACACCTAACTTAACCTTATGTATCATATTTGATCTTTGATATGGGCTAATATCTTTATACGTCACTCACCCATAGGAGAGCATGCACATTTCACCCTCCCTTTTGCGTCCACCATCACATACGCCTTGGAAGGCTAGAGGATTTATTGTCGTGTACACACCCTCCATCACTTAGCATTCAAACTTGATATCACTGTACTTGGTGCGTATCCACCACACTAGCGTCGAACCCTTATGTTGCACATTTCACTCGCTTGCTCCGTAGCGCACCCACCCTTCCTCACGTGTCATTTAAGCTCCATATTCATTAGCTTTTCATGCATTACCTCGTACGCTATAACAAGTCGATAGAAATGAACACTTTACCTCGAAGCGAAAGTAACATTTAGAATTATATT